GGCTGAGGCACAAGAATCACTGCAATCGGGGGAGGCAGAGGTTGCAGTGAGCAGAGATCATGTCACTGCACTCCAACCTGGATGGCAGAGTGAGACTCTGTTTCAAAAAAAAAAAAAAAAAAAAAAAAAAAATTCTAAGCTTTTGCCATTGAGACTAGCCTAACTGCATCTTCTAAATGATTAGATATCATGATAATAAAGTACCAGAGGGTAAATAAAATGCTCTCCAACATATATTTGGGGAAATGAAAGGAACTAGTGATTAGAACATAGATGTAACATGATTAAAATCAATTAACAAATGCATTTATTCAATCAGGCAGTCACTCCCTCATTATGAGCTCCTGTTTTACACCAGACATTAAACTAGGTATAGGGACTTCAAAGATTACAATATCTAGTTCTTGCTTCAAAAGAGCTAACAGTCTATTGAAAAGGCGTTGTAAAAACAAACTAAAGCACTAGAGTTAACTTTTGACATGGAGTTACACATAAAGTGCATAAATAAAGGACCACACATATAAAATATCTGGAGGACTCAATACAAAAGGTAACAGAAGACCTGAAAATTAGAGTATGAGTAGGAATATGCCAATCATTCAAAAAAAGGAAGGTGGTTTAAACAATGAAAGTATCCTCTGCTAGAACAGGTGATACATGATGAGTAATGACACATCAAAGGTGAGATGAGAGGGTGGCTTGGTGGAACAAGGAGTAAGCAAATATGAGGCTGGAGGAGTTGGAAAGAGTCAGATCATAGAAGGCTTTTTAGGCTTGGCAAATGAGCTCAAATTACACCTAGTAAATGATGAGAAGCCATGAGCAAAGTTCTGAAAAAAATCATATTAGAAAGAAGGTGAATGTAAGAGAGAGATGTTAAGAGTAGGGCTTCAGTGAGGGGGCTATCACGAAAGCCAGGGGAAAGATCATAACTAAGATAAAGCTCTGGGTTGAAAAGATGAATGTAGTTAAGAAAAAATATTGATACAGTAAAATTGACAGTGCTTAATGATTTTTGAGGTGAAAGGAAATGGAGATAGCAGTTGGTGTCCAGGGTTAAACTTCTAAAACAGTAATATCCCTATAGAAATCCAAATGATATAGTCAACAAATATGGTTATTATTGATTTGTGTAATACATTTATATTATCAAGGAAATATGTGGTATTATCTATCAGCACAAGAAAAAAAGTATTAATAATTATTACAGGTACATTGGTATGAATATGCATATGTATATTGGAACCACTGGGAAGTATTTCTGGGATATAGCTAGACTGTTTAAAATGTACCCCTAGGTGTTTGTATCTGATTTGATTGTCTTGACCTGAAATTGCTGTAAACTCAATAAATCAATAGTAAATATCACTATCATCAGTCTCTGATTGACAGTGGTTCAAAAGTGAATTCTCATCCTATAGTAGATGTGCTATATAAAGGCAGACGATGCCAAGTCAGAGGACTGGGGAAGATGTTATCTGATTTTGTAGTAAAGAACGGTAGTAACGCTCATTGAAAGGTATCTGCACACCTCCAGGAGCATGAAAAGATGGGAACACAATACAGAATGCATAGTATGGAAAGAGCTTTATAATAAGGGGTTCATGTCTGGGAAGTTCAGAGCACTAACTGGATGGTATTGTGTGGGAATGGAGAAAAGTGGGATATCATGTGTTCAAAGAAACCCTCATGTGTAAAGGAAGAGTGTTGTGCTTTATTTCTTCCTCCTTAACTAGATCAGGCTTGGAAGTACCATGTGAGTTGGTTTCTTGGTTGGGTTTATACCAAGTGAAACTAAAAATTTTACTGAGTTACTAACATTAATATCTTTAATATGATGACCCCAGACTGTAGAGAAAGAAACTACAATGGCAAGAGAAGTGGTTTTGTATTCAGTAGTAATTTAACTGATAAACAGTTATCTCAAAGGCCAATTAAAATCCTAACTCAACTAGAAAAACTCTTATGAATCCAATTTACTGTTTCCTTTTATAGCTCAAACATGAAGAAAGGATGTCAACGTCTGAGCACTATGATCTTACACAATGGCAAATGATTATGATACTGATAATAACAGGTCTTGTTCCAAGTACTAGAGACTTTGCTGATAATCCTATTTCTTTATGGAACCATAGGGAAGAAAAGAACAAGAGATACATAAACACTGAGATCTCATGAATTGACTGAAGGGAATGTTGCCAATGCCACAATGCCAGGCTATAATTCTTTTTTCTTTTTTTTCTAACTAGACTCCTCTTAATTTACTGACTATATTCATGGTGGAAACAGCCTATTAATTTCTTTTCCTAAACATTTAATGACTTGTGAAAATGCTTACAATTTTAAATGGAAAAGAAAAAGAATACTTACGTAAGACATAAATACGCCTACATTTTAATACAGAACTCAATTGGTTTTATTTTAATAATCATGTGCTATTTTACAATTAAGAACATTATATAATGAAAATATTTTATGTATATATATATTTTATCTTGGTATAATGTTATATGATGAAAAAATTTTTAAATATATTAATTTTTCAAAAGGGAAATTACGAAAACAAAATAGTTTGCATCTATTTTGAAAGAAACCTTTATTTTAATGACAAACTTCGTATCTACTTTATATTTAAGAACTATACCAAAGGGAAGAGTATTGCATGGAAAATTCTTCTAAATAACTCAGAAACCATGGTTTATATATAATGCCCAGGATTTTTAATAGACACATTTTTTCATCAGTCCATTTTTATTTTAACATTTTTCCCCTTCCAAGGAATTATCTGCCAGTTCAACAGAGAAAAACAGAAGAGGAATAGACTCATGCTTAGAAAGAGAGAACCCAAATCTGTAATTCTCCTAATATCCTGTCTCTCTTTCCATATCATAGAGGTTAATTCTCTCCAAGATCTTCTGCCTTGGAAATTAATACATCATTCCTTGTACTTATCTGTCTTTCAATAGTTTACATAAGTCACCACAAATTAGGGATTCATTTCAGGATCTCTTCATTTCAGGAGATGACGTGTAAAGTCACAGAGGGACTCACATAGCTATACAGAGAGTACCAAAGTAAAATTGAAAATTTTTTATGATTCTGATACATAAAGGGGCACACTAGTCCTTGAACTCATTTATCTGTGGAAGTCAATATATAAAAGTGTAAAATTGTCCTAATATCTACTGATTTACTTTTCCTAAAACCATTTAATAATGGTATTGAAAATAAATAATAAGATATTCATCCTGAAATCAAAGAAATGTAAAGAAAGCTATTATAGAAAAAGCATATAAAAATTTTCACATGATCATAACAACAATTTAAAGGATAGTATACATTATAATATTAAAAAATCACATTGTCTTAAGTTTCAAAAGTTTGATTCACCATTTTTAAACTGGTAATAAAATATAACATTTATAATTTTTTCTAGTTTGCTTTTTATTTTAAATCTGGCTCCACTTTGAAGGAAAGTATTTTCATTTTTAGTTATTTAGGTATTTTCCTCTCAATAAAAATTCTCAAATATATTATAAGTTAAAACTACTAGAACTGGTCAACTATCTCTACATGCAATAAAGCAAAATTTCCCTATATTGTTTCTTTTAAAAAAATTCATATGGATATATTTTCAAATTCTAGTAGGTGATTTTTCTCACAAACAGAAAACAAATGTATTTTTTGTTCCATCAGAAAGTTGATGCCTTTAGGCTAACCATTTCTTCTTTACAGTCTCTATGAAGGCTCTCAATTTGTATTACAAAACCTTCTAAGGATAAAAAATCAGAGTTTCCTTTTATCCCTACAATATCGAAAACATGCTTTGAAGCCCATTGAAGTAATTAGTGGAAAAATTATAATCATAATATAAAAAGCTTTTCTACATGTAAGGATAGAGGACGTTTTTGTTTATAAATTCTCCATTTAGACTAATACTCATTAAAAGCAGATGGTAATTACCTATGAAATGTAAATATCACCCCACTGCTAAGCTATTTCCTTAATTATTGTGATACTTTGGTCTGTAGAAAAATGATTTAATAAGAAAACATCAGGTATTTATGGTTTTTAAAAATAACATGATACATACCTACCTGGTCTGATAAAGCAGCCACTAGCCACATTTGGCTACTACAGAGCAAATATGACTGAAATGTGACTACTCTGAATTAATATGCATGATGTCAAATACATACCATCTTTCAAGGACTTAGTATAAAAAAGAATATCAAATGTCTCAGTCATAATTTTTATATTGATTACTTATTTAAAAATAATATTTTTACATAGTGGCTTAAATTAAACAAACTAATAACATTGATTTTTACCTGTCTTTTGGAGGACACGGTATAAGAAAACTTAAAATTACGTATGCCTTGCCATTAGATTTTTATTGTAAGCACTGGTATAAACAATAGCATAAACAGCTAAAGTTGTTTAGCATAAACAATGAAGTTATATAAGAATATACCCTTCTTTTATAGTTTATGCAATAGTGCATCTTCTAGAGGTTTAAACTGGGACTTGAAAATTACAAATGTGATTATTGATTAGTCTTCAGCCTTAAAGAGTGAGTAAGCTCATGGGAGAATTTTGTGTGTTCTGTGTGACATAAGTCATTTATATAACACCAGATATCAGAAATCATCATGTTGAAGAGTATTCATATATTGATAGGTGAGATCAGAAGGATAACTATCAGATTAATGTCTTCTTTTCAGTCTCTCATTTCTTCCATGTAGGGAACTAACTTTATAGAAATTCCTATGTTGTAGTACCCTGGTGATAATTGTAACGGCTTTTGAGACACTTGGATGGAAGCATAAGTTTTTCATACAAAATTGAGTTTTAAAATTGTTAATAAAATTATTTGCGTTGTAGCTCTGAGATTGTGCTTTTAATATCAAACAATTAAACTGAAGTTTGGACCCAGAAGTTAATATGTATGCAATACTATTTAGAAACACACAAACTGATCTTTAAGTGGGTATTCATACCGTCATAAATCCATCCAGCAAACCTGAATCGGGTTTCGGAGGTGCCTGCAATCGTTCCATTGACCACTTTTCAATGATGGAGGAAACTTGGGTATTTTCTGTATTTAATATTCTGAACCCTGTCATATTAACACCACTGTATCGGTAGGGCTCAACATCAAGAGCAAAGAGGTCCTGAAAGACAAATGTTATTGTGTTGTTATTATCGACAGAGTATCTTCACAGGCATGTATTATTGAAATAGTCACTTATTTTTGGTTCCCTTAGATCACTTAACACCATCGTGTCAAGTGATGTTACACATCAGAAATCACCAAGATTCAAATAGACTGTCCTGATGCTTTGGCATTGCAGATATATATGCTCTGGATGTAAAAATCTATGTATATATTTTATTCTAAATCTACTAGTGAAACAATGGGCTCTTATTAACTTACATCTAAGATTTGCAATAGTTTTCTGTGTTTAGGATAGCTTGCCCTTATTTTATGTATTAATATTTTACTTTAATTTTTTCTATGCCCTGCTGCCTCGCCTGGTTATTTCTGTTTTTAAAATTTTGTTTTGCCAGTGTTTCTTTGTTTGATTGCTGTTTTTAGAAAGCAAGTCACAAAATACGGCTTCTAACTAATGAAAACTATATGAAAGGTGTGGAAAAAATGTTTAGAAGGCTAGCCTTTTTGGTCACAGAAACAATGCAGTTCCTTCATTTCATGTCTCACACCTAGGAACTTCACCATAAGTTCCCAATAAACACTTTATGTCTGTTGCCCTTTCTAGTCTGTATATAGGGAATGTTCTTGCTCTGCCCTTTAGTTTTCCCAGGAGATATGAGGCCAAAGCTATCATGGGAATGGATACCATCATGAAAACATGCAGCATGTGGAGTTTTGCCCTCTTTCTAGTTGGTATAGCTGACCCTCAGAACTTACAGACAATATTGAGAATCAAGGCAAGATTAATGCCATTGGTTCTGTGAACAGCTTGCCTCAGACTCATACAGCTACACAGGCTAGATAACAGGAATACAATTCAATGGAGAGCAGCTGGCATTGGCCTGAACTGTGGTCTGTGCTATGAAAAACATAGGAATCTTTAGGTTTTTATTTTTTAATGTTTACAATCTAGCCAAGGAGATAGGATATATTCAAGAGGTGAATAAATAAAGCACGGCAATATATGCTAAGTGGTAGAAGAGTAGAAATCATAAGTGTAAAAGAAGTCAGAAGCAACACAGGTCATTTTCAATTTTTATGGTCAAGAAAAACTTCACAGAGCAGATACAATCTTAGCTGTGATGAGGCTCAGAACATGCTACCCCCAAATATGGTACTTGGCTATAGGAAATTGAGAAGACACAGAAGCAGGAAGGTCACTCTGTGACTTTATCCCACCTTTCTCCCCTGAAGTGGACCATAAAAGAATTCTCTGACCTACCTCCACAGAAAGGAAGTCATAAGACTCTCATTCTGGAGGGATCCAACTCTATACCTGTAGGTCATGAAGAATCTGAACAAATTGGCCTTGCTAAGTTTTCTGGATTTATTGCCATTAGATCATAGTCTCCCTTTGTCCAATAATTTTCCTACATAGCTGACTACTCTTTATTAAACCAAAGCAAAAAAAAAAGAAAGAAAGAAAGAAAGAAAAACAAAGAGCTAGATTTTCCAATTTCTTTGAGTCTTCATTTCTGATGGCTTTTGTGTCACATAAAATTTATATTAAATAAATGTTTATGTGTTTCTCTTGTTAACCTGTCTTTTGTTTAGAGATCTCAGCACTGAACCTCAGGATGTGTAAGGAAAAGAAATCTTTTCTACCCTACAGTTGCCATTAAAGAAAGACTGGGCTATTGATTGGCAAAAAGAGAATTCAAAGTATGAGTGGAGACACAAAAATTAGAAGACATAAAACCTATTCAGTTCAGCTCATCAGAACATCAGTTCAGCTATAAATGAGAATTCCTAAAGGAGAATAGTAGCAAAAGGAAATGGGAAAGTGTGATTAGGATCACAGTATAAAAGGCTTTCAAATGTAGGCCTATGAGTTCTATGTATCCTAAACTAGTTGTTTCGTTTATTTTGCTTATTGAGAGGTACTTTTGATTTCCCCAAAATTTTATGCTTATGCTGAGGCTGAGTTGTAACAGCACTGAAATATCTATCATTTGCTCTCACTTCCTCTCCACCCCCAACACTAAGCTTCTTACAAGCTGCAAAAAGTTGTCTGCTAGGAAATAAGATAGAGACATGCCAGAGCCAGCTTTGCTATTTAAAAGTAAAATACATCCTACTGCATGAATAATCTCCTTTGGAAGTAAGAGTTGTCATCACAGGAAGCTGTTGCAATCAATTAAATTTTAATAATCTGATCTGGCAGTTTCAAGACTCCTAGAAGCAAGGACACTAACTGGAAGAATTTCAAGTTAATGGAGAAAACATTGGTTAGACTGGTTATTATGGGAATGGAGAAGATAGATGCTAGAGACAGTACAAAGGAAAAATCAGTAAAATATTGTTATGACACAAGAGTCAATAAAAGTGTAAATTTTTAAGATAATCAAAAGAGGGGTCAATTCAGAGGACACTGAAGTTTAAATATTTTGAAATTAATGGCACAACAATTAAAATTGTTTTACAGTATACAGTAATTCATGAATATTACATAGAACATTTAGACCTCATTCAAACAAAGATGATAACTGAGGCTCTAAATATAAACCAGTTCTGAAGAAAATAATTGAAGAGAAAATAAGATTGGATGAAGTCCAAACTTGGAGATACTCTCATATTTAGGACATGCGGAAGAAAGAATTAGTAGAGACAGCTGTTTTACAGAGAAAGAAAGGTCAGGATAATGTATTGATAAAGAAATGGAGCTAACAGTAAGTTTGATATAGGCTAAAGTCAGATTTTCACACAAAATAAGGGGAAATTGTGTGGTGGGTATGTGAAAACAAAATATAAAGGTAACATTCAATTTGCTGATGGCAAATTAAAGCATACTGACTTTTAAGGAAGTCTAACGAAACATAGGCAAAAGCAGATTAGAAAAGTTAATCTACTGAAAGGACAGCTTCAGTACATCTGATTTTCAAAAAGTGAATAAAGCTGAGATAACATAAGAATTTGTGCTTTTCTTTTTTCTTTTTTTTTTTTTTTTTTTTTTTTAAGATGGAGTCTAGCTCTGTCGCCCAGGCTAGAGTGCAGTGGCACAACTTTGGCTCACTGCAACCTCCGCCTCCCAGGTCAATCAATTCTCCTGTCTTAGCTTCCTGAGTAGCTGTGACTACAGGCATCCATCACCAAGCCTGGCTAATTTTTGTATTTTTAGTAGAGATGGGGTTTCACCATATTGGTCAGGCTGGTCTCGAACTCCTGACCTCAGGGTAACCTCCTGCCTCGGCCTACCAAAGTGCTGGGATTATAGGTGTGAGCCACTGCGCCCGGCTGAATTTGTGCTTTTCTAAAGCACTGATTTCTCAGGAAACTAATTTCAAGATCCATTATGTTCTGAAAGTTCTCTAAAGTAACATAAAAATAAGACATGCAATATTTTGAATTGATATCTGAAATGATATTATTTCAAAATCATCAACTTCTATTAAGAGCTATCCCCTCTGATAATAATTTTGGTGGGGTCTTATCAAATTAAAATATAACTGCAAAGCACTAAGTCATAATACCTCTTACTAAAAAACCTATTTTTCATCTGAAAAAGTCGTAATAATAAAATTCAGAACATTTTGTTTTAATAAAGTACTTACCAGAGTGGTAAAGATGTAATGATAGTATTCTGTCATCATTCCCATAGCTAATGCCTAAGAAATTTAAAAAATATATATTATTGAAGGTATATATTATAGGAAAGACAATATGTCAATAATTCAAGTGAGAACAAAATATGGATGTGATAAAGAATCAACCCACAATATTCATGTTACATACAATTAGGTTAAACTAAATCTTTTCCCAGTAGTTAAAGATTAGTGGTTACTGAAGGAATTTCTGAAGCAATCCTCTAGATAGAAAAGCTATTAGTTGAATGTTTGCAATTGTAAAGCTATGGCTTAACACATTAAAGAAGGCATTAAATTTGACACAAAACCTGAAATTAGCACATCTTAATTTGTTACATTCGTAATGTCTTCACTACAAATACCCTAATGAGGAACTTATTTTATTTTAATGAACAATATTACTGAATTAGGAAAAAAGTGGCGCAAAATACAGTGCCAATAGCCATTTATTTTAGCTCTTTAGAGACATTTCCATAGCATTAATGAAGGAAATGTAAATTACCACTCTTATTTAAAAAGTACATATAATTAAAGAGATGTTTTTGTTGTTATTAATAAACTAGTCACAAATTACTGTGTTTTATTTCACTCTTCTACAGTCCTCATCAGTTTTAGACTGTCAATCTTAAAAACAAGGACTTTTGGGTTAGAACTTTCAGTTATAACAAGTGTCCATGTCATTTTCTCTCTGAAAATAAGAGAATGCTTTTGAAATAACTGCTTATCAATGAACAGCAGTTGGCAAGGATAATTAAAAAACAATGCATTTTTAGTTGAATGAAGAGTTCTTAGTAGGAAACAATTATTCTCAGGTACATCTAACAGCCTTCCACAACCCACTAACTACAAAAACTCATTTACAAAGTAGCTGCCTCAGCTACATTCTGGGTATAGAAATTAATGGGCTAAAAAAAAAAAAAAAAAAAGAAGGAATAAGATCTAGTATTTGATAGCACAACAGGTTGACTATAGTCAATAATAATTTAACTGTATATTTTAAAATAGCTAAATGAGTATAAATGGATTGTTTGTAACATAAATGATAAATGCTGGCTGGGTGCAGTGTCTCACACCTGTAATCCCTGGACTTCGGGAAACCAAGGCAGGAGGACTGATTGAGCCCAAGATCAGCCTCAGTAACATAACAAGACTCCATCTCTACAAAAAAAAAAAAAAAAAAAAAGGAGTAAAAAAAAAAAAAAAACAGCCAGGCATGGTGGCACACGCCTTTAGTCCCAGCTACTCAAGAGGCTGAGGTTGGGAGGGTCACCTGAGCTCCCAAAGTCGAGGCTGCAGTGACAGAGCAACACTCCATTTCAAAACAAAGAAACAAACAAACAAAAAGCAGTGATAAATACTTGAGATGATGGATATCCCATTTACCCTGATGTAATTATTACACATTGTATATCTGTATCAAAATATCCCACATACCTCATAAATACGTACACCTACTGTGTACCCACAACAATTAAAAATAAAAATAAGAAAAGCATTGTGCTCGTAAGTCGGCATTAACCAGTTAGGTAGGATAGAATTTGTAGTTCTGCAACATGAGTTCTTTAAGAACAAACAAATATTTGTGAAAAATGTGGAATGTATAAAATATGTTTAAAAAGGGAGAAACATTGGTTAATGAAAGGTGGCATCAAAGAATTGAGCACAGGAAATATAGGTATCAAATTACCAAATAATATTTCTTGAATGAGTAATAATTATATAAACCAATATTTGGATTAAATTTTCATCTCAAGCAAAATAAGACAGAATTTTCCTTATTAAACACAAATCTACAATATCATATTTGTAGAAGGCATTCATTGCTCCTGATGCATATGTTCAGATGGCTCCCTATCTCCAATACCATTCAATGACAGCTCAATATTATGCTTGGCATTTTTTTTTTTAATCCATAGGTATAGAACTAGAGATAAAGGTAAACGAAAGAAATAATGATTCAGATGTACAACTAAAAATAATACTTATATAATGCTTAAAATGTGTCAGATACTATTCTGAGCACATTACATATTTAAGCCTCATAAAAACTCTAGAAGTCAGTCCTACTATTATGTTCATTTTACAGGTAAGAAAACTGGGACATGAAAAGAATGAATAAACTGTCCAACAAAGTGAGACGGTGAGTAAACTTGGACTCCCAGTCTCTAATGTGGAGTTTGGAACCTATGGCATTTTCTGAAGTGGTGTATTTCATATTCCCATAGATGTAGAACACTCCATGCATTCTAAAATTTTTGCCTATTCCTTCCTTGAAAATTTGAAAACATGGACGTCTCAGCCAAGGGCATCAAATTTTGCTTTGGTATAGGGGAAGGAGTTGAGGAGATGGTGGAGAAGAAGATGATTTGTTCTGACATATATATTTCCAATGGCTACAGGTTTTTTCTTCATCACCTTGAGAAGAAATCTATAAAGGTAATTGAAGTCTGTTTCTGGCTTTCATTGACCTTCTCTCAGCTTTTGATTTTGAAAACAAAGATCAGTTATGTGCTGTGATATATGATGTAGAAAACGCTGGAAGGCCGGGCACGGTGGCTCATGCCTGTAAGCCCAGCACTTTGGGAGGCCAACGCAGGTGGATCACGAGGTCAAGAGTTCAAGACCAGTCTGGCCAAGAAGGTGAAAGCCCGTCTCTACTAAAATTACAAAAAATCAGCCAGGCATGGAGGCAGCTTCCTGTAATCCCAGCTACTCAGGAGGTTGAGGCAGAGAATTGCTTGAACCCAGAAGGTGGAGATTGCAGTGAGCCAAGATCTCACCATTGCACTCTAGCCTGGGTGACAAAGTCAGACTCCGTCAAAAAAAAAAAAAAAAAAAAACAACAGTTGGAGGTAGAAATAATAGTTATTTTTGATTAAGTACCTACATTGTAACCTTACTCAAAAAAAAAAAATGAACAACAGGAATACTCTCTTAAAAGATTAGTTAATAATTTCCAGTAGGAATTTTTTTTAATAACTTGCTCTGGACCTGCTTTTAATTATAGCATGTCTTACTGCTACTTTTAAATGAATTGTATGCACACTTCAAACACATTAGAGAGAATAAAATCAGCATCTTTTTATGCACAAACAATATAACAATTGCCTCAACATAAAAGTGGTTGTGATATCATCTCTTTTAAAAGAAATACTACAGATTAAATTAAAATCAAAATATTATTAGAAATCTCAGCATTAAGCTGGTGTAGTGTTAACAACGCTACATGACAAATTAACACATGCAGTTATTTAGGCACATAATTTGCAACCAGTTTATTTTTCAAGTAAGATCCAGAAATTATATTGCTCAAGGTCAACAATAGGAGGGGGGCCTATACGCATTTCTTCAATTTTTATTTTATTTTACTTCTTGCTGCTATAGGATTTTATTAGCATTTTCTTTTACATTTTTTCCAGGCTAAAAGTTTTTATTTCACACTCTCTGATCTAAACTTTGAAGTTCCTGATTACTATTTTTTCCCTGTGATAGAATGTCCTTGTGAGGTTTTACTTCAGAGCATCTTGGCTCTGCCCTAGGGTATTTTCTTTGATAAATCTGGATGGAGGTAGAATCATCTGCTATGGAGGTATGCATGCCAATTAGTGTACTCAACTTGCGTCAAAGGAAATCTGGTCAACCCCAAGCTCCACTCACTTTTAAAGCTTTCTAGCAGGAAAACTTCAAATTCTCTGTTGTTCAATAATTATTAAAAGCTGAATCAGTTTAAATTAAAAAGTTAAATAAATTATACAAACAAACACATAAGAATAAACTGATTATGACCGTTTCTTTTCCTGGATAGTCCTAATATTCATTTTTGGATGAAGCCAGACTAGCTGAAAGCTCATCTTTTTTTTTCTCTTCAACTCCTATACCATGTCTTAGGAGTTCCAACATCAGTGAATGTTCAGGAATCTCAGAAAAATTTCCCAAGTCACAAAATAGGACCCTATTAAATGCACTACTGAATTTCCTAGAAGCTATTTGCTTTCTTCTTGGTTACTAGAATAACTGGAAAATTCAAATGTGAGACAAAGTTAGAAATAATACCACCATAGTTGTGGTCTTCCAGTGCAGGACCTCAGAGGATGCATTCTCTATAATAATGTCACTCTGGCTTCATCTTAACTTTCATATTCTCATTTTACCTATATTCTAATTTTTCATCTACTGATGTCGTTAAAACTACATTTTTCTGTTATATGTATTTAAATATTCTATTATTTCTATTTTCATTTTGTAAGCAAAGCATGTTTGCAAAGAAAACATAAGAAAACAAGTTTAAAATAATAAATATATCTAATAGAAGGCAGGAAGCAAATTCGATTTTTAAAGCTGATAGGCTTCTCACCTTCCAGATAGCAAAATAGTCAGAGTTAGTTCTTTAGAGATAAGACAACAGATCATTTATATACTTACTAGAAGTCTGAAGAAAGCATACCAAAGCTCTGTCACTGAAATAGCTCAGTGCCACTCACTCCAGGAGTAAAGGAAAGGTCTCCTTTCCAAGCCTGTGTATTCTAACCATGATCAAGAATTGTTTGGGAATTATGTGAAACTAAATCTTGACTCTAGAGTTCAGTGGTTTAGTGCATTGTTTTATTCATTGCCAAAAAAAAAAAAAAAAAAAAAACAACAGTTGGAG